TGTGTGTGTGTTTGTGTGTGTGTGTGTGTGTGTGTGTGTGTGTGTGTGTGTGTGTGTGTGTGTGTGTGTGTGTGTGTGTGTGTGTGTGTGTGTGTGTGTGTGTGTCTGTGTGTCTGTGTCTGTGTGTCTCTGTGTGTGTGTGTGCATCAGCGTGGCGGACTCTTGTCCACACCAGCATCTGCTGTACTCCACTGCTCAGCCATACCATACACTCCATTATCCCCTGGCAGAGTGTGTGTGTCAGCGCTGCAGGTGCCACATTAAGGTGATGTGTTTAATCATCAATTCAAGCAAAGGACAGCCCTCTTCACACATACAAGAAACACCAAATACGTTCAGTTACAGCGAGCTTGTAGTTCAGCTGAGCAGGGACTTTTACCAAGGGCTAGAGTGTGTGTTGGACTATGTGTGCGTGTGTGTGTGTTTGTAAGTTCTGTATATGTATTTCCAAGCTTTTATAGAGTGTAATGTTTAATTATTGGTGTTTAGTGTGTTTGCAGAGTAGGTCTACAGTGTCAGATTATGAGAGGCAATTGATGAGAGTGACTGTAAATGTGTAAGTGTTAGATCCACAGGTGTGTGTGTGTGTGTGTGTGAATACAAAAAGTGTGTTTGCTGTTGTGTGCATTGCTGTGAACATTGAGGATGTCCAACTCCACCACCAACTTCTACGCCCTGTCCCAGTCCTTCAGCTTCTCTGACGTTTTTGTCATAGTCACATACTTTCTCCTCAACCTCGCTGTCGGCATCTGGGTGAGTCAGATCTTTATGAATGTGTGTGTGTTTTTTTCTGCCTGCTTGCATGTTCCTTAGGTGTTGTGGATGCTTGTGTTTTTAACAGTTTTCTCTGTCAGTCATCATGCAGGGTGAGCAGGAATACTCTGAGCGGATACTTCTTGGCTGGACGAGACATGGCCTGGTGGCCGGTGAGTGTGTGTTGTGTGTGTGTGTGTGTGTGTGTGTGTGTGTGTGTGTGTGTGTGTGTGTGTGTGTGTGTGTGTGTGTGTGTGTGTGTGTTTCAGGACTCTGTATCATCTCAAATGCTTCTGATGTTGATTTTGTTGAAAATACCTCAGATAAATTCCTAACTCCTTAGATGTTGTGTAACATTTGTAGGATAAAGCTTTTTCTGATCAGCAAATATTATTGAGCTTAGATATTTTTGTAAATTAGTTAGTGGTTGATTATTGGGCACTTGTCTTCTACTTTAAGATTTTATTTTACAAAGCATATATGATAAGCTTTGGGAATACAGCACGAATATCAAATTGGCTGTTCCCTACCTTTTTGGTTTGAAGCACGTTACAGAAAAGTCTGTCTATAAGTTATACTTTCCACTAGTGTGCTTCCCACTCTCATTTAATAATAATGAAAATAATATTTATATTTTGAAAAGCAGCTTAAAACTTGACTTTCAAAGTATTGTGGCAGAAAACAGGAAAAGCAGGATACTCAGGAATAAATATAACAACAGTAAGGCCAAAGAAAATCAAGACAAAAAATATTAAAAGGAAGATGACAATAAGAACATGAATTTAAAAGAATGACAATAAAAAAAAATACAAATAATTTAAGTATATAAAGTAACTATTGGAGGCTGAACGAGGTAAAAGAAAAAAAAGACATACCAAATTAATATTCATTTAAGGATTTTCCTGGTCCATTTATCATCTCATGACCCCTTAGAAACATACAGTGGCTTCAGCTTGACCAGCTCAAACATTGAATTGTTAAACTGCTGCAGAATAAGTACTTTAACAAAAGTATGTTTACATTGTTGTAAAGGTAATGTTACTTAAACCATCTGAATTCTTGTTCTACTCACCACAGATTGGAGCGTCTCTCTTTGCCAGTTCAGAGGGCTCAGGTCTGTTTATCGGCCTCGCCGGCACCGGAGCTGCTGGAGGGATCGCTGTCGCTGGTTTTGAATGGAATGTGAGTAAAAGCACACACACACACAATTATCATCGTGCATGTAATTTATTTTGTGATTATGTAATCATTATATGGCTGGCTGAAAGAACAAAATATATTTGTGTAAGAAAAATTAACACACAGCTACAATAACTGAGCTCCATTTTGTATCTGAAAAGAAAACAGTTGACATTGGTATTGCAAAAGCTTTTTTATTTAGTTACTTGAACATTTCCAGACCAAGACATACATTTCATTGTGCAGTGTTCATATGTGTTATAACTTCCTTCAAAGGCTGTTGCAGGCAGCTTTCTGCAGGGGGCAGCAGTAGGACACCTTCAATATTACACTTTGTTAGGTGGTGTATTGAGCATGAGGCAGCAATCAATCTTCAGCAACATTTCACAGGCTTGCACATGCAGAGCTTGGCTTGCACATGCAGAAAATAAAAGGTTTTTTGTTAGTTTTACCAAATAAATGTTTATCTCCTTTGGCTATTGTTTGGGACATTCTGGTGAAACCTCTGTGTCCTCTTTCTGATTCCTTTCATTCTTTCTTCCAGGCCACCTATGTGCTGCTGGCTCTGGCCTGGGTGTTTGTGCCTGTCTACATCTCCTCAGGGGTTAGTTTGCATACACACCACAGTCTATGATACACACACACATACACTCAAACGGGTCCATAAATGCACTGGGATTCTCTAAGTCGTCTTTCCCTAATTCCTGATGATTTCTCCTTCACATCTCTCCCCAACCCCATTAACTTTTTCCCTGAGGTTAAGGAATAGTGATTAGGAAATAACTAGAGCTGTTTTTTTTTTTTGACAATTCGACCGCAACCCATGTCTGCTTGTCAAGGCTGGTTCACAAGGTGCATTTAGGTGTCAAAAGACATTCCTTGCCAGCCAGCACTCCCCACCTTGAAAATTCCCCAACAGGGTGTTAACTCGACACACACACACACACACACACACACACACACACACACACACACACACACACACACACACACACACACACAGGGCACAGGGGCCAACAAAGGAAGAAACTCAAAAGGACCACAATAGTATTACTACAGGGAAACAAAAGAGACTACATGGGAAACTAAAGGATTGCAAAGAGATGCAAAATAACCAGGAAGACTCACAACAACCCTGACATGTGGCACAACAACCAAAAAGAAATACAACTGTTCTACAAGACACACAAAGAAACTGCAAAGGGACACAAAACACCCACAAGGAGACTAAAAGAGATTTACAACTATGAAAAGGGTCAAAACAACCACAGAGACACACAATGACTATAAAGAAAGACAATACAAGCAAAAAGACGCAAAAAATTACAAGAAAACCACACAAAAACAACATAAAAGACACTAAATATTACTACAAAGAGACTCAAAGGACCGTGAGAGGGGGCAATACAACCCTGAAAAGAAACACACACTACAGAGTCCCTAAATGAATACAAAAAAGAGGCAAAACAAGTAGAGACAAAACATAAGTATCCAATAAAACAGATTTCTTTTTTTGTAAATACATTGTAATGTTCCCATACTACACCCTGACATCCTTTCCTTTCTTAGGTGGTCTTGCGGCTGTCATCTACACCGACACTCTACAGACATTCATCATGATAATAGGAGCTATCATCTTAACAGTCACTGGTATGTACACATAACAAACGTAAAAAAACACAACTGCAGTTATTTCTAAGGAATGTTTTGTTTGAGTCATACATTCCCTGTCCACACAGCCTTTCAAAAGATTGGAGGCTACAGCAACCTGGAGCGTATGTACAGCATGGCCATTCCCAGTAAGATCATTCCCAACAGTACCTGCCACCTGCCACGTGAAGACGCCATGCACCTGTTCAGAGACGCCGTCACCGGAGACCTGCCCTGGCCCGGCATGACTCTGGGGCTCACCATACTGGCCACCTGGTACTGGTGCACTGACCAGGTAACATGATACACAAACACAGACAAACCCTACTGCTGCAGATGGGCCTTTAGAGTACTGCAGGAATCCTAAAACCAGGAAATTAGATCTTAATGTTGCACTTCCCGTTCCCTTTACTTAAGGTCTATTGTTTTTGTTTCAATGCCTGAAAAAGGCTCTGTGGTTAACAAAAGCTTTATGGGTTTTCCTGTTTTAATCACCAACATAAAATAGGTCAGTAAATAGCCCACTCGTGAATTTTGAAGCTGACTTTGGGAAACAGGCAGAAAAAAAGCCCTCTATTGTTCCCTTTCGGAAGAGGAAATATTATAAAGTAACCTTAAAATTACGAAACAGGAGCTCTTTTAATTTATACTTTGTGTTCCATGGTCAACATTTTGAAGGTTTAAGCACTAGGTTTAGTTTTCCAGATTCCTTTCTACTGATGTGGTTGCATCCACAAATCTCAGTAAAAGAAAAAAACTCCACCGTGTTAACCTGGTTTTGATGATTTCTTGACATACTTATTTTGCCCCTTTTGTTTGTTTGTTTGTTCACCGTGTAAAGCGGCTTTGGGTCTCTTGAAAGGCGCTATATAAATGTAATCAATTATTATTATTATTATACTCAGACTTTAGGTTCCACAATTATCCTGAGAATAATATGCACTACAATAAATGTTCTGCCATTTATGAGGAACTACTTAAAATACTCAAAAACACACAACCACTTTTCTGGAGAATCTCCAGATTAGGGTGCAGATGTCTGAGGTTTCAGTGTAACACATTTCCTGAATATATGAGATCACATGCTATGTATCTAAACTGGTTAAGGCAACAACAGGGCTGGATAGCAACAGTTTTTCTTTTTATTTACAACATTCACTTTTGGTCCCACATCAGTGTTTAATATTGCATTTATACCAGTTAACAACACAGCAGCCCTACCCTAACACCATCAGTAACCAATCACATTCGTATCAACACCAGAGACTCTTACATTGTGTCAGCAAGGAGCCATAATCAACTGATCTTGCATGTTGTGGATACAGTTTGTCTAGGTTTGATATGGAAAAAAATACATCTTACAGTGCACAAGTCTGAATAAGAAAAGCAGGTAATGTAATTAAGAAATATGTTTAAGGCTGAAGTGCCTGAGTTTGCAGAGGACACTTGGTCACAGTAGATGTATTATTATCTACAATACTCATGTTTTGGGTTTGTTTCCACCAAGGTATCAGTATCTGCCTCTAAAATGTGCAATCTCCCACACACTCCCAAAACCATCCAGTCTGACGCTATTAGCCTTGAAGCGCTGGTTTTGAAGATGATTAATCTATTCTTAAGAAATATTATCAATTCAAACTGCCAACTCTTGTTAACATAGTCGAAAAAATCCCATCAAAAGGTTATTTTATGTTGAGCCTCAGGGTTTGAAAAGAGGGAATGACACGCATGCCAGAGATAGAGAATATTCCACACTGAAGAGTCAAGACTTTAGCAGGATGTCTGTATCATCAATCGTTCTCGTGTACCTTCGCTCGCCCACTCCTCTACCTATCCGCCTTGTTGTTTTCAGACGCCTTCTTCTGCGACGCATCACCTCGTGCCCTTAAGTGTTTAAAGTTGCTGAGTTTTGAGAAAGATACTCCTAGTAACCCTGATGGGCTGGTGTGCATGCGTGGCGCGGCCTGAGCAGCCTTCCTGTACCCCGGGCTGTGTCGCCGTGGTGACCGTCCGGAGCGGGTCTCTAGGCGCGCCTGGGCCGAATCAGGGTGCAGCGTTTGACCCTGCCAGTAACGGTGTCCTCCGATCACCGGGACAGCAGAATTGGTCGGACGGTGATAACTTCCAGGCTTGGCGATGATTACACTTGGGCCTCTCTGTCGCGAGTCACGACCCGGAGACTTGGAGGTCTGGAACAACTGGGCAAGATAAGAAGCAGAGATGATTAGGACACATGAAGTCCAGAAGAGTGACACATGGTGCCGATTTGTGAGGTTACAAAGGACTGAAAAGCATTATCGATTAGTCTGCTGATTAGTCTCTCGATTGATCGATTAATCATATCATATCTATAAAATGTCAGAAAATAGTGAAAAATGTCTGTCCCCGTTTTTCAAAGTCCTTTAAATGTCTTGTTCGTCAATCTAAAACACAAAGATAATCAGTTCATAATGATACAACAGAGAAAAGCCTCCTGAAAACTGCATTTTTGCTTGAGAACGTCTGCATCTCAGAAAATTCCAAACACTAGTTATTTCATCACAAGCTTCAACTAGTTCAGAATCCTGCAGAAAGACTACTCAGAAGATCCAAAGTTGATTGTTCATAGCACCAGTTTTAGCAGCTTTATAGTGGTTGCCTGTGAGTTTTAGATTACAGTTAAGTTTGTGATTTAAAATGCATATACAGGGCCATCTTTTGACTTTATTTCTGACCTGCTTAGACCTTTCTTAAAAAAACATTGAATTGCATTTTCCTAAATTGTTAGCATTTGTTCTTTTATTTGTTTTCATCATACTATGCATTTCCTGTTTGTATTTCTTTTTTAAAGTGCTGAAGAGTTAAAGTTATATACTATAATATTATTGTAATGTTATTATGTTCTGTGTTTAGGTGATTGTACAACGCTCCCTGTCTGCTAAGAATATAAGTCACGTGAAAGGAGCTTCGATCCTGGCTGCCTATCTGAAGATGCTGCCCTTCATCCTCATCATCCTCCCTGGCATGATCAGCCGAGCTCTCTATCCAGGTGCGTGCAACCACACACACCTTGTTATTTGCAAAGTTGGAAAGATAATGACGTAATTGTGAGCAGGTAGCGGCTTGCTTTGGAACCCTTCATGCAGCACACCAATTTGTAGTTGGGTTTATATAGATGTCTGTGTGTTTTCTTAGTAGAACGGCACATCCACCATAATGCTTGGGAACTTCTGCACTTGTCTCTGCATTGATTACCGTAATTTTCGGACTATAAGCCGCGCCTTTTTCCCCATTTTTCGACGCTGCGGCTTATATAACGGTGCGGCTAATCTATGGATTTTTACAGCTAACGGCCACCACCTTTAACTCTATGGGCTCTATGGCCGGTCCGCGGACCCCCTCCTTTAAGCGGCGGGTTCCAGCAGGAAAAGCTGGAGGCCGGAAAAGAGTGAGACAGGNCATTTTTAGGGGGAAAACGGTGGATCTGTCCGTTTCGTTAACAAACTGATAGGCAAATGGACAAGCAGGTAAAAACGGCCGAGTTGCTTCTCCAGACTNGGTGCGGCTAATCTATGGATTTTTACAGCTAACGGCCACCACCTTTAACTCTATGGGCTCTATGGCCGGTCCGCGGACCCCCTCCTTTAAGCGGCGGGTTCCAGCAGGAAAAGCTGGAGGCCGGAAAAGAGTGAGACAGGTAGCGCGCAAAAGTAAAAGTGGAACCGAGAGTGGTATGCCGCTGCTGCGGCTTATATTCAGGTGCGCCTTATAGTCCGAAAATTACGGTACTCATTTAACAATAGTAAAAGGATTTTAAGGATGAAGACGAGCCTTGTGTCAACATCTACATATTAGTGTTGTAAAGAGCTGAAACAAAAATATATTAAATTCAATTCATGATTATACAAAACAGAGAAGAATAGCATTTTCTCACAATGGAAAATTGGAGACTTGTAAATAAAAGAAATGCTAAAACTATTGATTGAATTTTTAAATAGTTAATGATCTGTCATTCCATGAAATTACTAATTATTCCCCTCTAAAAATAACTTTTATTTTCATTATCTACATTACCTCCTCTACCAAGGAGGTTTTGTTTTCATTTCTGTTTGTTCGTTTGTCCGCAGAAAAGTGAATTGCCCAATGTTCATTAAACTTGGTGGAAACGTTAAGCCTGGGAAAAAGACCCATAAGTATTTGGAGCCATTAAATTACAAGAAGGATACAGAAATATTATTCACTTCCTTTGAAATTGCAAGAGCACTATTTATCAATGCATTTTGCTATACAACTAGCAAAAACGGTTAGTCTGTAAAAAAAGGTTTTGAATTAACAGTTTATAATCCAAAGATTTCTCCAATTATTAAACAGAAAACAAGACAACCTGTTAAGTGCAAGTTGGAGGAAGAATGTAAATCACCTGTCCTATGTGCCTTTGCGTTGAGGGGTTTCCCTGTCTGCGGAGCTGCTGTGATTGGCGGATTAGGTCAGAGGTTTCGTCACTGCTGGGATCCCGCAGATCCAGCATGCTCTGGGAGAGGCGGGCCATCATGTTGAACCCGTCTCCCTGGCGATGCCCGCGGCCCGACCCCGTCTTCACTCCGTTGTTCAGCGGGTCACTCGGCTCTGGCGGGGGACATTCATAAAACTCCTCCTCTGATGCTGTGGAGGTGATTGAGGGGGCATCAATGACCCCTCGGTCGCACATGACCTTGGTGCTGTCCTGGCTGCCCTCGCCGGTGCTGCCAGAGTCACTTTCCTCCTTTTTAGAGGACATGCGGCCACGGCCTGGCTCCTCCCTGTTTTCCTTTTCTTTGAAGCCATCGAGACTTTCCAAGTGGTCCATTTTGATCAGAGTGACCTGTGGTTGTCCAGGCTCCTGTGGGGAGGCGGGGTCTATGACTAACTGCAGTGTGCGGCGTTTAGGAACAGGAGGGGCTGCAGGTTGAGTCTCTGCAGTTTGATTAGCAGTGTCTGTTGGCTGTGAGTCAGCAGTATCATTGGATGGCGTTGGTTCATTCAGTTTGTGCGTGTCTTGTGTCAAAGGTTTGTCAGACTGCTGAGGGGGCCCTCTGGAGTCTGTTGCATCAGTTTGGTCTTTATTTGGAACAATGTCTATTTGCTCTTTTAGCTGTTTGTTGGTTTGACTCACAGGAGTAGAGACAGTTGTATTCCCAGATGGATTCTCCGCATCTCCTGTAGCTTTTGCATCCTGAACTGAAGCGGGGTTCTCCTTCTGCGGTGGGAGCGTCAGTGGTGAGCTGAAGCGAATAGCCTGGCTAGTCTCAAACCTCTCTGACCTCTGTAAGTGGACCTGATTGGCTCGCTTATCATCCCTGATGTTGATAAAGCCAATCACGTCGCTCGGTGGGTCTGGGTCTGGCCAGATGGGCAGGTACGGGATCATGTATGCCTTTTCCAGATGGGCTAATCCCGGATGCAAGGGTGGTTCTTCGATGACCCCCCTAACACGTGCTTTCGGAAACTTGAGCCCAGTGGGATGACGGGAGTTCCTGGAATTTTGTTCAGAAGAATTGGCACTTGCGTGAGTTCCCCCGGTAACAAGAGCATATTTGGGATTGATGAGCTTCCTAGCTACAGCAGCAGACACCGGAGCAGGAGCCACCTGAGCGACCAACTCAGGCTCGTCTGCCATGGGGACTTTGTGGAGAGACACACCTCTGGAAACGAGGTAAAGGTCACAAAACTGAAAGTCGAAGGTCTCCACTGCCTGCCCCGTGATCACTGTGATGAGGTTACGGTCCAAACGAGATGAGGACCAGGTGAAGCTGGAAAAACACAGACAAGGAAACATAAATTCACAGCAGTAACTCACCTCATGTGCTCTGATTTATTTCATACTACATTTGTTCCGGCAATTTATTTTCCATACTAACTCTTTTCACTATGTCACAACTCCTACTTAGAGAAACGAACGTACACTTTAATTATTACACCAGACAGTCATGGATCACATCATGCCCTTTGATTGCATCGTGTGGGTGAAATGGTAAATAGGTAACTATAGATGAATAATTCACCATGTGTTGAGGGAAAGATTTATAGTTGTGGAAGATTTGCCTAGTTCACACAAATTAGTTTTGGCAAATAAAGATATGCATGCTACAACAATGCAAACATTTTCAATGTTGCAACACGTTCTACAATTATTGCCTTATGATTGTTTGCCATTGCCAACCAATAAAGAAGCAGTTTATCATCAAGTGTTTCCAAAAAAGGCAGACTTATTCCAAAGAGAAACACTGCAATTCATTTGATCCTATAAGACATTCGTGTGAAACTCCGTAGGGCAAAGTGGAACTAGTGATCATTTTGTGTACAGTAGGATTGTCTCATAGCTTTCAATGCAAAAATACAAGATATGCGGAAATGCACTGAGCTTGCACACACTCACAACACCCTGCTCACCTGTATGAACCAGAGATGGCTTTGTCTGCGTCCACTAGGAGGAACTTCTGGCTCAGCGCTCCACGCACCCTCTGTGCAGATCTTGTGAAGAACTCCACCCCACCACAGCTTCGCACACGCAGATTCTGCACAAAAACACAAAAGCAATTATGAATTCAGGTTTAATGCTTTGCAAAAAAGGAGGCTCTTAGGGATTAAGTGTGATGGGAGGAAGGATTTTATTGAACAAAAGGGAACAAAGGCGACAAGAGCATAGGAAGACAGAAAATAATGAGTTCTCTTTTTGCTCTTCAGAACAATTTTTCTTTATTAATACCATCGTAAACTTGTGTCGGCTGCACGTTAGAGCATGGACTGTATATCTGTATGAATGACACACCCTGCAGTGTTTATCTTTGGCCCTGTGATAAGGGTGTGGTTTCTGGCTGAGCGATACCTCGCAAGTAAATGTTCTGTGTGAAATGTCACAAGAGACGCGATGCCCAACAGTTGTAAAATGTTCACAATAAGAGCAAAGATGGCAGATAACAAAAGGTTGAAAGAAATGAGAGGTTTGGTGGTTAGAGCCGCGAGTAAGGAAGAAAGAGAAATGAAAGAGAAACATGTCACAGAGAGTAACGCGTGAGTGTGCATGGTTTATGTAATTATATGCAGCACAGACAGGAATGTGCTAAGTGTCTTCCTGGTCTAAAACACTTAGAAAAGCCCAAATTAATTAAATATTTAAATGTGTTTTTTGTTAACTGCCTAGACCAGTTCAACTCAGATAGGCAAAGCATAACAAAGACATTAAGCCAATGGCAAAAACAACTAGCTAGTGCATGCACCTTATTAAGGCCTGCAGACAAAAACCTGTTCCACTACGTTGATCATGCCCTTATTTCAAATGTTATCCCTTATGTAGTAATATACTTGTACATGTGACTGTGATGAAACATATTTATTGGACATTTTGGAACTGTAGCTTTTAAATGTAAACTGTTTTCTATTATGTTAGGCTATACTTATCAAGAGTAGCCATCTATTCCAACTAGCTCTTCTCTCAGTTTATCAAAACATCATCAGGGCGTGTGCATACCTTTAGATGTCCACGATGCATATCAGCTCTGCCACACATGGAGAGGAAGCAGGGGACTGAAGCCAAGTCAATTATTATGTATACAGGAACTTTGCGTTTGTAGGCTGCATCCAGCAGGTCCCGAAAGATATCTACATCTGTAAACACATCCATCACCACGGCTATCACCTACAAACACAAAAATAGAGGAAACCACAAATGGGGTTAGTGTTTCCTGATCTGTGGGGGTGGATTGTATTTGACAGCCATTAAATCCTCAAAGGAAACTAAAGACTAAGAAAACTGCATCTAGAAATTAAATAGACCCTCAAAACACAAAAACCGCAACTCTTATCATCATATGTCAATTACAAAAAATAAATAAAAATACAATCGACAAAAAAAAACAAGTTTAAAGAAATCCTTTACATCCACAGAAATGAATGTATAATGTAAGTTTTGATTTACTACCAGCTGTTTTATTGTATGTTTTTAATCACCATTTTGTAGTGCTTAACTAGCTCTGGTCTATAGGTGTTTTTTTTTTAGACGTCAGTAGATAACAACATGACAACCAGATTGTTTCATTTCAAATATTAAAAGATGTTTGGTTTACATGAGTGAGATTGTAGATGAAACACTTTACTAGTAAAGCATTTTTGAGGAGTGCATTTTAAATCAAGCATATTTTTTTTATTAAGCATTTTTAAAACTTTCAAGACTTTGTGCAAACCCTGTTCCTGATCACTTTGTCCCATAAAGAGATTGCGAGAAACAAATTGCTTCGCAGAGTGGTGACAGACTGTGAAGTGTCTGGATAGTGTGTGTTCTATGTATTCAACAACACAACACTAGTGACAGGATGGTACTCTTCACATAGCACTGCTATTTACTCTTCTCTCCTGACCAAGTTCCAGATTTAAAACTAGGTAGACTTTTGTCCCAAAGTCTGGCAACTTACTGATATGAAAGGCTGATCAAGAAAATAGCTCTGGGAAAAGTTCATTAGTGCACATACACAAACTGTACATAGGGACGCCCAGTTCAATTTAACAGCAGTTTTGGGGGGTAAAAAACGATTGGCATATGCCCTTTAAGCCGTAAAAAAGTATTTCAATGTATTACTAAATCCTATTAGTCTACTCTAGACTATGTGTATATGCGTCAGGATCTATGTATGTAAGAGGTAAAGGCTCCCGGGTACTGTAATCTTTTCAATGACGTCAGAGCATTTTTCACCACTGGCGTGTCAGGATCAGACTTGTTTTATTAAAACTTTGTTGTTGGTATTTGTGAGTATGTCACATGTGGGAGAAGAAAAAGAGGAAATAACGTTTGTAAGACAAGATGCCAAGACAAAGGAAACCAATGTCAACATGTTTAGTAGAAGATATGATTCATCCTTGTGTGCAACTGCAATGCTGTAAGCAGTGTTCAGTGTCAGACATTTCATAAAATATAATCATCCTTAGACTGATGTTTCTTGGATTGAACAGAATACAATTAAATACAAATGTTTGATTAATAATTAATCTTCCAATGATTTTGTTGATTCAATAGTTAAAAGCTCAAGATCTGTGCTTAAAGTTAATATCACACATTAAACATCTGCCATTTTGGAGAGTGCAATCGCAGAATATCTGAAATTACTGAAATGATTATCAAAATAGTTTCAGGATAATAGATTTGTTTTGTCTTCTTCACTGCCTTTTCCATGTTCATGTGTGTGCGTGTGCGTACTGTGTACTGTGTATGGTGCAACTATAGTTATTTACAGTGTTGTGAAGTAACTAAGTAGAGTATTTGACATGTTTTGCTACTTTATACTTCTACTCCACATCCACTTTTACTGCACTACATTTGTTTAATACCTTGAGTTACTTCGCAGATTCTATTTCATTATGTGAAATAAAGTCATCCTTAAATAAGGCTTTAGTCATACCCGGAGTAAAATAGCTACACTACTCTGCAGCATACAAAGTAGTTAATATAGCTGCACCTTTACAAGCTTTGATAAACACATTAATGAATCAATACTTATAATCAAAACATATTATATAATAAGTTATTCTGAAATGGGCATAATAAGTACTTTTACTTTTGGTAATTTGTGTTGATGCTTACTTGAGTAACATTTTGAATGCAGGACTTTTACCTGTAAAAGTATTCTACACTGTTGTTACTCAGGTACAAGATCTGAGTACTTCTCCCACATCTGGTTATTTATTTATCACACTATACGGTTGTTGTTACCTTCTGGGCCGATGCGATGCTCTTGCGCACCACCTCTTTGATGTGCGTGAGCCCGTCGGTTGGAGGTTGGGTGTACACGGTCACGCGTGTGACCCCTCGGTATGAACTGGCCTCGGGCCACCCGAGGTCCAGCTCCGCCACTGACGACTCTGACCGGTCCGGCCAGTACTGCAGCGACACCTCGCCGTCCCCCCCGTACTCCCCGGACCCCGGGGTAAGGTTCCCCGGGCCCGGGGTGAGGTTCCCTGGGCCCGGTATCATGCACCCTGGACCCGGTATCATGCTCCCTGGCCCCGGAGTATCTGGCTTCTGATGGTGCTCATGTCCGGGCCTGTAGGCCTCCGCGCTGTATTCAATCCGCTGCAGCTCCGGTTCCGAGAGGAACTCCCTGAGGCCGGTCTCGCGGATGAAGTCCCCGAACGCATCGCGGCCCTTGGTAACGAGAACCTCGATCGCCAGCCGTTGGTCCTCGCTGTAGAAAAACTCCGGTTTGCCCTCGCTCACGCGCCAGTTGACGTGGTGGTTGTCCAGACACTGGACCTGGGACAGCGCCATGGCATCGATATGTCCCCCGGTCAATAAAGAGTACAGTACCAAAAGAACCGAGCTGATCCAGTTTCCTCTCGTCGGTCCGTAGGGTCCAACTTACAAACTGACATTACGCTCCATAACGTGTCCGCGTGACATGGGCCCGTGTGGCGGTAAACATATTTCCATGTGAAGGAAAGACACCGCTGCAACAGTTTGCTCAACACAGACTCGGGTTTGCACACACTCTCTCTCTCTCTCTCTCTCTCTCTCTCTCACACACACTCAGGTGTTGCTAGAACAAAGCACCTCCACCCAACGCCACGCCTTTCACCTGACAGGGGCCCGGTAGATCCAGCGGCAGCCCGGTTCAGCAGATCCAGCCGACGGGCAGGCAGACAGCTGTCTGGGTGGATGAGTGTCAGCCTGTGAGTCAAAAACAAAGCGGAACACGTACTTGACAAATAAGTCATTAATCCTCCTTTAAAAGTGTTGAAACTGTTGGTGACTCAAGCTTACTGTTGTGCTGACAAGCCACTTTTCCTCTCTTTTTGTCTCTTTTCTAAATCATAAAGACCACTTAATGATTCCACTGTTGAGTTCCCCGATGGACACAAATTCGTAAATATCACTAACGTGGCACCTACGTGTCTCAACTTTCACTTTGTCCAAGTTCGCGTCGCTTTATTTTACCGTGTCTTTCTTGATTACGCTTCTCCAGACATAAAGTTCATCGAGTGCTGCTCCAGCGGTTTGGGTTTGCCCCAGGAATCCGGCAACGGAAGCTCTATCACCGGGGCAGAAAGGCGGAGTGTCCGGTAGTTGGTCGGGAAAGAGAGGCTGTTAACTCCACCCTCCTATTACGACCCAAATCGTGTTTTTCATCCCAAAACAGAACCCTTTGCGAAAGACAGTGGTGGGAACCATGGGACTTAGTTATTTTGTATCAGCTGCTGCTAAATATTAACTGTTCCCTGTAATGTGCTTAGAGCTAAATACATTATTTTGGTTTTATCTCACTGATAAAAAAAAGAACACATTTCCAATTTAGGTAATGCAGTGCAGATGCCAAACCTGTTGCTTATCATGTGATTGCTTGTTAATTACGTGTCACTGTAAAGTCTGCTAGATTTTTTATTGATGAAACATTAGGAGAAATAACTGATATAGGTCTGGATCAGGGTTGTGTTATACTTTAAGATTAGAATAAGGTCAAGTTAATGGTTATGTAGATATAAATGCACCTTACTGACAAATGATCTTTGTTGTGAGTTCACTTTTTATCACCTAAGGAGTTAGATGAACTATCTTACAAGTCAATGGAGTTTAAAGAGCTTTGCGTCTTGAAACTCTTTTTAAATCAAAACAGGCAGACTGTAGATCACAGGAGAATTCAGTGTAAAACAAATTAGGAATTCTACTTTTATTTTACTCCAGATCCATTACGTTTTCATAAGCAGAAGTTGCAGACAATTACACATACTCTGTCAGGTCTTCCATCCCTGTGTAAGTGCCCTTTTTCTTTATATCTCAGACACTGTAGGATGTGTGGATCCAGAAGAGTGTGTGAGAGTGTGTGGAGCGGAGGTGGGATGCTCCAACATCGCCTTTCCCAAACTGGTCATTGAACTCATGCCAAGCGGTGAGCATACTTTTTTGAATCTGTCAACTACTTTGATAAAGTTCATTTTTTACCTACATGCAAGTGTTCATCTGTGTGTTGTATTGCAGGCTTGCGTGGACTTATGATAGCGGTGATGATGGCAGCTTTGATGTCATCACTGACCTCCATCTTTAACAGCAGCTCCACACTCTTCACCATGGACATCTGGAAGAAGTATCGCTCACGAGCCTCAGAGAGAGAGCTGCTACTGGTCGGAAGGTATGTCACCGACAGATGAAGGGTCAGAGGTCAGAGAAAATGTGTTATAAATGCTGGACACTGGTAGCTGACATTTGGAAGTGCCTCATACTTCAACAAATCTGAGCTAGCCCTAGTGAAAGAGCTGTGACTATTTCAGGATTTCGACTGTGATCTTGGTGGTGGTGAGTGTGGTGTGGATCCCCATCCTTCAGTCGGCCAACAGTGGCCAACTGTACGTGTACATCCAGTCGGTGACAAGCTACCTCGCTCCGCCCGTCACTGCTGTCTTCACCCTGGCTGTCTTCTGGAAGAGGACCAACGAGCAGGTAACACGCACACACAAGTTATATAGATTAATCTCTTAATAGTTTTGTCTATTAAAAGGAAAACATGCCCTCCAAAAGAGCCCGCAGTCCAATGGGATGTCTTAAAATTGCTTATTTTTCTAACAAACACTCCATAACCCAAATATAAATAAAAACTCTGACTGATCCAAAAAAATTACAAATCTTTACATTTTCAAGCTGGAAGCATTAGATGTTTGCTATTTTTTGCTTACTGACTTAAACAGCATTAACAAAATCATTTTCTGTTAGTAGACTAATCTATTAATTGACTAATCATTACAGCACTAATAACAATCAGCTACACTATTACTAATGACAATAAACAGAATACAATCTTATTCCACCAACTCTTTTGCGATTCCTTTAAAGACGTTTATTTTTCAACACTTACAGGACTCGTTGTTGCAAACATAATCAAAATTAATACAAAGTTTACTACATTTTTTACACTCAACTTCTTGTCAAAACAAGAGTTTGAGGATTTTCTGCACTGTTTGTCCTTTCTCCCACACCGTACTGGTGTTCCTATTTTTTATTGGCCTCTCATGGAATGCAGCTGCCAACATCCCTCACTGCTTGTGTGGAGCACAAGGGTGTACTCACTCATTTTATGAAGTGTATTGTTTTGTATTTCCTATGTAGAAACCAGCATGAGCGTGTTGCTTTTTCACTTGAATAAATTAAAGTGATTGTTGCTGATAACAGAGTGCAAGTGAGGGAAAGTTTGATTATCACAAGATATAGATTGACAGAGTGCTATGAAAGAGATAATTCTGTCGTAAAAAAGGGGTTTCAGCCATATCTTTCAACTGCAAATAAAGACCAGTTCGAATTCCTGGGTGTGTCTGCTCACTGTGGACATGCTGTTTAACCACTCGAATAAAGTGGATTTTCAGGTTTTTCTTAGGTTTTTTATTTATTATAATATCCAACTCTGAATAAAGCTAGAAAGAGTCATTTTTAGTTTTCTTCTATTACAATAATTTGCCTAACCTGGTTACACACACAACCAATTAAGCAATTATAGTGAGCATGGTAGACATTGTACCTGCATGTTAGCATTGTCACTGTGTGTGCATGTTAGCATGATGACATTAGCAACTAGATCAAGTAGGGGTCATTACTATGATCCCAGCGACCTCAGTTAGACTTTTGTAAGGGTATTAACTAACTACACATAAATACATTATACATAGTTATTGAAATGTTTTGAAACAAAGCATTTAGTTAAAATAGATGTCTAAAACATTCACGTTCCTATCAAATTTAGCACAGATTAAATGTATATGCCTAGATATAGACCTGCTTAAGACCAAATCCATGCTTACTGGAGAAGTTATAAAAAGTCATAATTTTCTTTTTGATGTATCATTATATGATACCTGTGTACTAAGTTATTGATAAGGGCCAATAACAGTTGCTAACTGTTAAACAAAAGATGTGAGTCTTTTCTTTGTTTTTTCTTTACACACACGGAGCATATCGCTGTAAGAAATCTTTATGGTGCTGACTCATTGGGGTCAAAGGCTTCATGACACACACTGTCTTACACTGTAAAGAAAAATATAGACATATTTCAGTGGAAATAACAATTACATTTTTAAATGTTGTTTTTTCACATGTAGTACTTTCACATCAGAAACAAAGAGAACCCGATGGGGGAAAAAAAGGTTTTGAGTGAAGAGTGTAAGAAATGAGAGCGAAAATAAAACATAATGAGAAACAAAGTGCATGTATAGATGTTTGCTTTGCTTGCCTTGACAAGGTGATTATTCTCATGTGTTAAGTCGAAGCACACAGATGACATTCTTTACTGAAGGCTGAACAGAGGCAGCGACAGAGACTTAATTTGTGTCTCTACACGTGTGTGTACTTAAGTGAGAGGTGACACCATGCTGACAGATAATCATGCTGGGAAAGTGAGAGTGAATCAGGAAAGAACACACGCACCATAGTGAGGCTTTTAGCAGCAGGAAGTTCAGCATATTATTCAGTAAAGCATCTGATGATAGAGAGTTTAGTTTAATTAATATGGACATCACAGTAGCATTATAATTACTTAAGTGCACAAGGACCAGATGCACTGTGTTTGATAAAATAAAAGTACAGACACAAAAACAGGGTTTATAGGTAACACATTTGAAATAAAATGATAAAACCAGGAAAGAGCATGTTCATGACTTAAAGAAAACTGCTTTAAAGGAATCCATTTCTCATCCCATTAAATTACTATCTCCATGGTGAACGAGAAATAAAACAGTCTTAATTAATTCAAGTCAATAGGTAGTCTTAAATCAAAACGAAACTATCAAAACATGTCACACAACTCGTGCAATATAATCTAAGTCTCATTTATCCAGTCGTATGCTCCCTACTTCACAAGTGCATGCATTTGAGCTAAAACCTTAATATTTAAAACCCTCCTGCATGTCTCACGCTTTTGCAGACACGCTACTCTTCCATGCAAGTACTATACTCACAAAGTGTTTTAAATAGCGAAAATGCATGTGGTAATGAATAAATTATCGAAAACAAGGCTTATAAAACTGAGTGTAAGAATTTGTGAACAGATGTTTTGATACAGATTTGCTGTTGTCAAATGCTGCCCCAATAGGAACTCATCAACCATTTTCTACTTTTATGGATTATTTGTTCATTGCGGTCAATGCGAGACATACTTGAAGACAGGGGGAATTGTTGATTGACTTTAGGAGAAAGTATTCCTTTTCAGTTGTAATTACCTATGAAGATTTCAAAGCTGAGAATTTTTTCAAGACGTGACAATGGTGGCGCCTCATTGGTTGTGTTTCTATGTGTGTTTATGTGTATCCAGGGTGCGTTTTGGGGCCTGATGGTGGGCTTGGTGGTAGGTGTGTGTAGGATGGTGTTGGAGTTTGCTTTCCCGCCTTCCAGATGTGGCGTTGTGGACTCGGCACCTGATGTTCTGCGCAGCGTCCACTACCTCCATTTTGCCATTCTGCTCTGTGGGCTCACTACTATCGTGGTGACTGTAGTTTCCCTGCTCACCCCCCCGCCCAGCCCTGAACAGGTGTGTACATACAGATATAATAAAGATCCATTGTCCCAGAGGGATATTGGTTTTCATTGGTTTTGCATTTCGTCTGTATGTTGTCTCAACTGAAGGTTGAGCTTCATGTTACAAGACAGTCAAAAAGGCCTTGCCTTTCTAAATCCTAAAGATCAACATCCTAAGAGAGGAATCCTACAGCACAGAGGAAATATTGTTGCTCTCAATAGAAAGACTATCTATAATCTAAATGCTTCATATTTCAAGTCCTGTTAATACCGCCGATCAATTTGACACATTACATTCTGGCCTGTGTGTGAACTTAAACTGCTAACAGTTGCATTAATGATGTCATTGCACATTTTAGTACAATTTAGCACAGACAACTAATCACAAGGAAAGTCAGTACTTCATACCCATTAAAAATTAAGAAAGCTATGGTTGTATATAGGTGATTTATGTTAATTATGTTGAATGAAATTGAAGCCTGTATTTTTATTAGAGCTGAATAATGTTATAATGACAGTTTATTCTTCAAATTGTCTTGTAAACAATGAGTGTGCAACTTAACATGGGAAACCACTGATCTACAGTAGTGTAGTATTAATGGAATACGTAGGGAAATAATGTTATTTGCCAAATTGCAAAGTGTTATTAGAACACTAAATTACATTAAGCATAAAGACTAAATTGTGTGGAAACAGCTAGCCCGACTATATCCAAATGTATTTAAGTCTGTCTACCAGACCACGGTCAACATTATATCTGATGCGTTATATCTAGCTTTAGATTTCCATGGTAGACCTGAGAGTGATATTGATCCTCTCACCTATATAACTTATTTAGGAGTAAGTAAGTAACACTACAGGTGTTAACCTTTAACACACAGTTAGACATTGTACCTGATTACAAAAGGAAGAGTGTAAATCATATTACTTTTTGTTTAAATTTGTTATTCTTTTCTTGAAGGGTTTGGGTGTTATCTATTGAGCCTTATTGCGTGTAGCAATGTTACAGATGTGTACTGATGTATATTCTGTGAAATGTTGTTGACTTACGCAAAGGGACTTCATGAAGAGAGGCTTCAGCTGCAATACAGTATCTAATGGGGCTCTTACCAAACAAAGTCTCTTTAAGAAGGTTTAACTCTTCTTTTTCGCCAGGAGGTTGTCAATGTATATGGATTCTTTACATATAGTTTACACTGTAGGTCGTTGCAAGTAAATTCATGGAATCAATGGATTTCCATTTTCTTCTCCCACAGTTGCTTAACCTGACCTGGTGGACTTTGACTGAAGGGCCACAGAGAGAAATTCCTCTGCAGAAAGTGTCCTCTGTCAGCCACCGTAGCTCCCAGGGTAAGGGTCTGAATATTCACAACACTTGGAATAAAACCAGCCATCATGTGATCAACACTCACACACACACACACACACACACACACACACACACACACACACACACACACACACACACACACACAAGCTGATGTTATTGTTGAGTAACTGTGTGTGTGTCTGTGTTGCAGGCTGTGAGCCAACCCGGCGGGTGACATGCGGTCAGGGCACAGGGTTGTGTATCGCAGCAGCGCGGCGATCAGAGGAGACTCCAACTCCCAGAGTTCAGAGCGTCAGAGAGAGTGTGTTCTGGTCCAGGTTCTGCGGTGTCAATGCAATCCTGGTCGTCAGCATTAACATTTTTCTCTATGCATACTTTGCCTGAGTCGAGGATCATATTTCACATCCTGTCTCACCCTGTTGCTGAACTCCTGACAAAATCAACTCCAGATCCAAGAAGGTGGGGAAACAAACTGTGGTTTCTGTACTGATTTTACATGAATCCAACATAAATTCTCATTTCAAACTAAACTAAAAAACACTTAAGAGAGCACCTCTAACCAAATGTATTATTTTGATTATAAAAAAATTGAGATTTAAAGAAAAATCTAAGTAACACTTTAATTCATTAATTCATAGTTGATTATTTTGTTTATAAAACTTATCTCTCGTATTTTGTAAAACATAGTTTCAAAGTGTTAAAAGGGTATTGTACAAATTAAAATGAAGATCGTGGCTTGAAACAAGCTAACATCAATCTGCAGTTTATAAATGATGACATATTAACATAAGGGCATTACACACCATATATTTAAAGCTTACATTAAATTAGAATATACATATTTGTGTTTTTATGTTTAACGTGAAAATCTATTTGCTTAATTTTACTTACAATGTTATGTTTATGTCCTTATGTCTGTCAAGAAGAGTTTTGTGAACTTTAAGTTACTGTTTTAGTTTTCTTTCATGCTATTTGGCTTGTTTGTGAATATATATCAGAATTTCTCAACCTTTTCCGGTCCCAAAAATTGCCCAGCTTTTAGTATTTTAAATGAAAATACACACACTTGTGTTTTGAATGAAATAGTGCATTAGAGCATCTACATTTAATGGAGATAATGTGAAATAAAGGTTTTACAGATAGGTTCAGGGTTGTTGTTTGGTTCCCAGACATTTTACAGTTTATTAGTAATACAATGTGCCTCCTGTTTTTGTTTAACAGCAGACTCCCTCAACGGACATTAAACCCAAGGTTGAGAAACTCTTTTATAACATTTATGTTAGGTGCGTTTAGATATCTCTTTTTTAGTTTAGTCAAAAGACAGAATATCATGACAACCTGTCTAACAAATTTTTTTCTCTTGTGATATCCCAAATAAATTATAAGATATGTGCATTAAAGTTACAATTGTTGGTCCAAAAATAAATGCAGGTTAGAGTATTTATAATCAGATAATATCCCTCTTTATTTGGCTGCTGTACAGTTTACTTACATTCACTATGGAGGAGGTCAGAGGGAAAGACATGACGGTAAACAAAGCAAACATAGAGTTACATTTCACTTTTAAATAATCATTTTAATACATGCTATTGGTGAAAGGAGGAGATCGGGGCTCAGAGGACGAGTTGTAAAGTTTCACTCTAGAGCCGCAAAAATTATATTTCCTATCTATGAATATGACAATTGTTTTTTTTAATTTACTGATTAGCCAGATATTTGGGAAAACCCACTGAAGTAACATCTGTAAATTGCCTTTTGTGTAAGAAATACTGTCCAAATCCAAAGGTATTCAATCAATAGTATAAAAAAGTCAGCCCCAGCTAATGCAGTAAACTCACTTGAGGCAATTTTACAAGATTTTGCAGAGCTCTGTGGAGCTTCAAAAGGCTTTAGAAAACGATTTATCCCCATATGCAGCAGAGTCTCCCAAGACCTCTGAACAGACTTTGTTGTAAAATGCTTGCAGTTGGAAAAACTTCACCGACCTTGGAGAAAACACTGTTTTCCCCAGAGCTGACTGAGAAAAAACACTTTCAGACTATTCAATCACCACATATTTTTACTCCCAACTTGCCAAATACTGCAGCTTGGTCAGTGGTCCTAAACTTCAAACTAAAGCTGTCAATTTACGCCCTTAGCGTAAGTTTAGCAAGTGTCAGTTTCTGCTTGTTACGCATACAGTGTCTATTTAACATAGACGTATGTATGTTACATACGCAATGTAACTCAAACAAGTCAACATAGACTCCTGGTTTCATATGGGACACAAACACCAATCTTATGACTTATCCATTCACCCAGACCCCTCTCTAACTCCCTTCTTTTCTCCCACCCTAATTACGGCCATGTAGAGTGTTGTAGTTTGAAGCGTAGGCCCAGGGCCGTCTCTGGTCAACATGAGGCCCCACGCAAAGATATATGATGAGGCCCTCTGTTTCGCGAGCGTTGGTGGGGGGCTAGTGGAGCCTCGAAAACCACACTAATTGCGCCGCATAAGCGCATACAGTAGGTGCGCCGCATTTTCGGATCAGTTGAGGCTCCCTCCGCAAGGTGAGGCCCCACGCAGTCTGCGTGATCGGCCTGTAGGGAGGGACGGCCCTGTGTAGGCCCATAATCAAGCTGGTGTATTTGACAACTTGCTAATGAGAAAAGGCTGTCAATCAATACTGAACATTTGTGTCTATGGGACTAATCACATATTGGACTAATTGTTTAATCACTAGTTGTATACGAAAGGTAAGTCACTACAGCCTGACAGAGGAGTGTCAGCGACAGTTTGATATGGTGTCAGTGGTACAGTGGCTGAACGTATTCTGGCGGGAAGATTCCTACTCGACCTCGACAGCGCCCCCTCCAGGCCAGAGAGCTCGAGCAGTCTAGCAGGTCAATGATGTCACCACGCAGGAAGTGGAGGTGGGCGGTGTGAGGGGGGGTGTAGTCACAGAGGGCATGAGCCAGACGGGGTTTCTACACAAAGACAGAACAAAGACATCAGACAAACAGGAAACTGAAGCTGATTATCAGGAGAAACGATGCTTCAAGATTCATCATCATACCCCCACAACTGGTTCGTGCAGACGCTGGGAGGACTCTCTTTCGTGGTGAGGGGGGTGAGAGTAGAGGTTAGCTGAGAGGAGGGACTCCTGAGAGGTGGTTTTATAAGGGTTGGGGTAGGGGTTACGTCCAGGATGGGGCAGCAGGTGAGGGGATGCAGCAGCGTCTCTCAGAAAGACCAGTTTCTCCGCCGCGATGCTGTGAGTTCTGTAGTAGTCCACCAGGCGGTTCAGGGAGCAGAACGTCTCGTCCCAGATGCAGTACTGACCGCCCCCCTCCAGCACCCGGAAATGCTCCACCCTCTCACCATAGCTGCAAAATAAGAGCGGTGAGAGAGGTAAAGGCATTAAAGGCAAGGTATGCTTTATGCTTCAAAACCACTGTGAAGATGAGAGCTGTGTTGTTCTTCATTCCTCTACCGGCTCCTTTTGTTAAGAAATGCATGCAGAGGTGATGTGCATACCTCTGTCAGTTTGAGAAATGAGTCCACAATCATCTGGGTGTATCTCTATCTATCACAGGAGGTTTTCTCTCAGACTATAAATCTCAAATGTCAAGACACACACAATTTAATAAATGTGCAACCTGAACGGAACTGTTTGAAAATCCTGCGATAGTTTGTAAGCACTAATGAAAAAAATAGGAATAATAGATAAGAGCTGAACTGAACACTAAATTATAATTATTAAGTATTTTCATCGATTAATTGCTTGTCATTTTCAAATGTATGCTGGTTCCAGCTCCTCAAATTTGAGCATTTACTGCATTTTTATCTATTAATAAAAGTCCAGATATATATATAGAAAACAATCAATGTATCAACAAAAATTATCTGCAGAAACACTTAAATGCAACACTAATAAAGACTCCGGGGCTAGTAAAATACCCTACCAAATACATCATTGTATATCGGCTATGCTACATATTTTATTGTATTGGTATCTCATATTGAAAGAAAAGAACACAATAGTAAATTCCACAAAGAAAACTCTTTTATGTTTTCTTGTGAGTAATTGCCTTTGTGTCATTTGGTTTGCATAGTTATTTAAAGACTAAAGTATATTAGCATTTCAAAACAAACATGCAAAGTGTACTATTGCAGTACTTCAAAGGTTTCAGTCTATTGTTCAAAGCCTACATTTTTTAAAGCTTGATCCTCCCTTACACACCTGAAGATAATCATGTAATGACTCTGAAAGGAAGCGGACGCTAATACCAGGATTTGTTTGATGAGAATTGTCAGCTGAGGGAAAAAAAGGTTTTGGGGATTTTGTAGTGTTATAGTTAATATTTTACGCAGCACAGTGGTGTCCTTCCTGTACAGAGTTTGCATATTCTCCTTAGTTTCTGTCCCAGTTGCCTCCTACATTTTATAAATAGGGGTAAACTAGTTTCAGACTTTGAATTGCCCGAGGTGTGCTTCTGGAGCTATTTCAGCATGCAGTACCATTACTAATTAAATTACAATAGCTGTCATCAGCTGCTCGATCTTCTCTGTCCATAAAAGGCACACATAGAAATGTTTCTTAGTATGCACACAGACTGTTTGGTAGCACTGTGACTTCCACCTGTATAATGCATCATAAACATGAGTCATACTCTCTATTTAATGCATTATAATGTGATCGAGTTACTCTTAAATGGTCATTGTTTGTAAAGAAAAAGTGAGAAAAAATAATAATGTATGCATGAACACACAAAACATTGTAAAATTATACTTTCGCTTTACTTAAAGCAAACAGGTCATTCTAAAACCAAATTATGATCCTTGTGATTTAAATGTATGATTCAAGTCTTTATAATGTGTTATTACTATTGTAATAATCATGAATATTTATCAAAGTGCTTGTAATTATAATTAAAGAGCGCCATAAGCAGATTCTAATGCATTATAAGTATGTTTGTAATGCATCATAGTCTAACAACCTCATAGAAATCGCGACCAACTGTTTTATAAACACACTATAAACTATAAACACACTTTACACAGAGAAAATAAATAGTTTTTGATTTGGAAATATAAGATAACTGTGCTAGACCTATGATAAAAAAGAATAAAAAGCTTCACGTAATTTGTCATGATGTCATCTAAACTCATCTAACTGCAGACATGAGAAAAGTGAAAGAATCCTCTTTAAACTGCTGTTTAACATTTAAAAACCTGTCTCGTGACTCTTTTGAACTCAACCTGAACTGTACCCCCCTCTGTGGAGCACTACGGTCTGTGGTTGTGTTTCAGCTTGTGTGCATAAATAAAACAAACCTTTTATCTCTCTGCCCTTGCAGTCAGGCAGATGTTGTGCCTTAAGGCAATAATATTTGCAGAAAATGCACTTTAAAACATGCATATGGCATGTGTCAATGGCATAATGTACCTGTGTTTAATGAAAGAATGAGTGGTGTTATACAATGCCCCGATTATTGAACACATTTAATTCATCCTCAATGATTAAATGTGTCCCACGTCACTTTGCTGACCCAAATTACAGCTCCTTACACGCACACGATGCACGCACGCACACGCACACACACACACACACACACACACAGTTCTATTTTTAGTGGAATGGGTGTGCGTACTACATCTTAAATAGTCTGACTCTCCCCTCCACCAGTCCCAACACACACTCAGAGACACGTGGATCCTGTAACTTGCTAATGGGCTCAGTGTGATGGAAAACAAGCATCCAACTGCACAAATAATTTAAGACTATTGCATTTGGTGATCTAAGATGCTGCCGCCTGCATGTTTTATGCAACACTCCTAAAGTACATTCCTTCAGGGAGATGTTAAAGTGTCTTTTAGAGACTGAGGCTCTCTGGTGGGTTTAATGGGAAATTACAGCGGTACAGCAGATTCAACACATGCAAATATAACTGCTGCAGCACTGCACACAAACATTTTGGAACCCATTAACATCACAATGGGAACAGACAACAGAGGAACATTACGTCAGCCTGCAGCATGACATTTGTCAGATTTGTATCTTGTATCTTGCGTGTGTATGTGTGTGTGTGTGGTGCATTCACTGACCTAACAGAAACAGAAAACTCTCCAGGAGCTGATTCACTCTCCCTCACCAGGAACACTCCGGTGTCCTGCCAGCGGAGACGCTTTTCGGCCTCCAGTCTTGACACCCGTCCTACAAACCACCTACAGACACACACAGGCATGTTAATTATACTCTGCTCTTGGACTTTTATATAACAGTGAAGTCATTATTATATTTAGACTGGAATAAGCATGAGTAGAATTGGAATGAACAAATATACTCATATGTATATCAGTGGTTCACAACTTCTGAAATACTTAAGACTTTCACCTCTTTTGGCCTTGAAAGCGTAGTCAAATTAAGCAATCTGAGCAGGATAAATCACTATTTGGTCAACCACAAAGAGCATAACCTGTAGTGAGGAATCACAAATGTACAGTGCAACATTTCAAGGGGTTCAAGTAGAAGAAAAGTTTGGGAACCACTGAAGATGGTATTTAAAAGATGTATAACAAAATGTTTGCAAGTACATAAAGCAAGTGTTCTACTCTAAATTGTTTCAAATATATGGATAAAGTTGTTTTTTACGGATAAGGAAGAAGGGAAATGTAGTTCTCTGGCACGTAGCCACGCTTCCCCTTGATCTCTGCTGTGACCCAATTAGAATCATCCTCCATTTCTGTCACCTATAACACACATGCACAATTATTCTTCTTACTTTATGAACTAGCAATGCTTTGGTAACTTTCAAAGACTCCGAATGCATCAAAGTAAGCATTTACATACACACACACACTTACCTTGATAATGTCCCCTTTCTGGAAACTGATCTCGTCTGCTTCCGAAGCTTCGAAAGAGAAAAGAGCCACCGCCTCCATCCTGAAGAGAGGAGTCGAAAACGAAAATAGTTTCACTTCATGAATGAAGAGAGAGAATACAGCTGTGTGATTAGAGCACAGCAGCACTCCAAATATAGCAAGAGATCACCAGTGTGTGTGTGAGTGTGTGCAGCGCTGCTCATTAGTTAATGAGGAGAGTTTTCTCTGCGCGTGTGTGCCGCTCTTCCTCCATGTGACTGAGTTGGAGATGATGAACACGTGGAGGTGGAGACTGTCCTCTACATCTCCATCTCTGATGTCTTTCTTTTCAACTCTGGGGCTTTAATGAAGCATCTCCACGAGGGAAATCAGGGACAGTGGGAGGAAGACAAGAGAGGGGGGGAGGATGAAAATAACCTGAAAGAAACAGCAATGACCTCCAGTGTTTATGATTATAACAAGTCCTTTCAAAGGTTAACCGAGCACTTCCAGCTGATTCACACATCATTTTAATTATCAGCTGACATGAGGAAGACTGAAGCCTGTGAAGTGAGAAGGGGTCAATGATGTACCAATTAGATCTGCAATGATTGCTCACATTTTTTTAATTGGTTAACCAACAGTAAAAGTAATCATCAATTGATAATAATGGAGTATACATTTAAAAAAAAAGTGTCTTTTTTTTAACCCACTCATATTGAGATTTGCTGCTTTTCTACATTGTTTATACACAACTAGATATTTTAGGGCTTCCGGACTGACAAATCAAAACGTGTGAAATCACCTTTACTTTGTAAGACTGTAAGACATCTTTTCCGATATTTTATATTCCAAAAACAATATATATTACATTTCATAATGATACATATTTATATAATTTGATTATTAATATGGATGCCAATGTGTCAATCACTCTATAGTTGCAGCATGTGGGAGTCATTTTAGCAAGTCTATGGTTGGTAGCTTAATTTTCTTTTATTTAGCCGTCTGGACAAAATCTCAAACCTGAACTGCTGATCAAAATATTGTGTGAACATTCAATAAACAAATCTGAAAAATGTATAATGAGAAGAAAAAAATTCAAATATATGCTGTTTTTTATTGAATCAAATTGATATATTGGTCATTGCAATTGTTTGTGGAATTCCCAAACGTGAACATGTTGACACGTTGAAATTGCTCAGCCTCACATCACTATAGAAACAGGATACATGTAACAATACAGTAATTAAAATAAGGGAAATTACTATTTTTCTAATGAAACCAACATATCACAACATCATCACTGACAAATGTACCCTGAGTTTGAGGGGTATCTTTGGATTGGGGTTTTAGTAGGTGATGGTCGGCAAAGCAATTTACTGTTGTGGACTGGGGCAGCAGCAAAACTGATTTTAACCACCTAGAAAACTAATCAGTTGAAGTGCACGCTATGTTTGGATTAGTTTCATCCCATTACCTTGCTGCCAGACAGTTATTTCATGAGGAGACCTGAAGATGTTATCTAAGCTCTCTTCAAAGCCCCAAGACTACTTTGACACAAATGGTCATTTGACTCTGCACAACGCAGGGGATGATTAGTTAGTTTGTGTTACTGTGTGACCTTTGTGATTCCAAACCAACCAAAGTCACTGCTATTGATCTTTATAGGTGAATAATACAATTAACAGTACCAGGGTGTGCTGATCACCATCTATCGACTGCAGATCCTAAAACCCCACCTTAAACAATCCAAACTATTGTGTAGTTCATAATTGATAACAAAACAACTTAAGGCTGTGTGTGTGTGTGTGTGTGTGTGTGTGTGTGTGTGTGTGTGTGTGTGTGTGTTAGTAGCAGTCCACTATGACCTCTTCCCCTGGTTTTGTGTGAGTGGCACTGGCCGTCAGTATGTCCTGCAGCAGAGAGAGGGGGGAGTTGTGGATGTGGTCGCTGCTTTGAGTCAGGACTTCCATCCTCTCGTCCAATCCCAGAGACCTCAACGCCTCACATACACTCACACACACACTGTCACCTCCCTCCTCTGCTCCGTTGAGACCACTCTGATCAGCGATGTCCTCCTCTTTGGCCTGATCGCTCTTCTTCATTTTCAGGATCTTTAGAATCTCTCGCCCCCAGCCACAGCCTGGCAGTTCACAGGATACTGTTGCCATGGCAGCCGATGCATCCAGTGCCCCTAGCGATAGAGGACAGACTGTCTCTCTGAGTGTTATCAGCAGGCGACAGGCCTTCAGAGCAACAGGTCTATCGCAGTCAACCAGCCCACTCAACAGCACTGAGACGACTCCCTGCTCCACCACAACGGCCAAATCTGACTCAGCGCCCTCTGTGTGTGTGGCAGTGTGTGTGTGAAGTGTGTAAGCCTGCTCAGAAACTACACCATAAGCGTGTGGCGAGGCATGGTGGGAGTCTGAGCCCTTTTTGTAACCTGGGTGACCTGAAAAGGCTTCGTCCAACAGCAGCTCAGCCAGCACCAGCGTGTGAACTTTGACCTCCCAGTCCAGATCTGCCCTGCCTTGTGAGAGGACGGAGCGCACACTCTGCATCAGGAGAGAGGAGGAGGAGGAGGAGGAGGAGGAGGAGGAGGAAGATGGAGGAGAGTGTGAAGAGTACCATGAGATGAAGTATTGTACTACAGCCCTCCTGGGGAATCCCTCCGAGTCCTGGGAGAGGATTTCAAGCAACCGGCTCACTATTTCAGGCTGGAAGGACAGAAAAGAATTCCAATAAAAGTCAAACTTCTTAAAACATTGTGCCTATATTTTTAGGTATAAAGATACCATGTAAATGAACCCAGTTAAGCATGGTTACGAGTGTAAATACACTTTACAGAATGTAGAGAGGAATACAGACAAACCTTTTTGACCCAAGTCAAGAAAATATATGTTTTTAAGGTCTAAATGTTGTGGTGTCCAATTTGTTATCATCTATAGTTGTTCATAGTAATATCTCTGATTAAAATATTTCGTCCAGTTAAAAAATAATCAACGTCTAAAAAGTCTATTGTAAATATTTGTCTCAAAAGTGGATAAAGTCCATTTATGACAGCTTCTGGCAAACAACTAAAAGACTTGCGCACACATGAGGAATACACCACCATGACAGGCAGCCAAATGAAAAGGACCATTTAAATGTATTACAATGACAGATTCCTCTAGGTTGGAAAATGATTGGATACATTTGGGATAATGTAAGCACACAACTCAACATATATCTAACATGGGTCTAGAATTTGCGGCAAATAACATTTTATGCCAATCAATAGGAATCGGACCCGGCTGATAGAGGGACTTGATATGGTTTATTTCAACACAGAAAGTTCTTAGACTTTGTTCCAACTGTTTTTAGAGTGAAGCGTAAAACAATTTCTTCCTACCTCCTCCTCAGTGAGTGTCGCCCCCTGCTGCCAGCGGTGTGTAAGAGTCTTTGCCAGTGCAGAGATGGCGCTGGCCCTCACGTAACTCTCTGAGTCCTGCAGCGCCTCCCTCAGCAGGGGAGTGGTAGAGCAGTCACCCAGCAGAGCCTCAGATGCGTCACGCTCCTCTGCTGCTGCTTTAATGGAGTCACACACGCCTGCCAGGTGTCCCAGAAACTCCACTGTCGAGTCCTTCACCTCCCAACGCATGTCACACACACGCTTCTTCACTACCTCCACCAGATCTGAAAGTATCCATATATACATACATTTCATTTCAGTGACATATTATACTGCCACCACAGCAACAGTAGAGTGTATTCTGTGTGTGGATGCATCACACAGGAGAGTTTTTATGGTGACCTTTACCGTGTCTGAGCTGGTCTGTTATAAAGGAGAAGTCCGTGCACACACTCGTCCACTTTAATAAGGCCTGGTAGGACTTGTGGAGTACCTAAAAAACACAAACACAGTACTTGAATTGAAAGAATATTACATCAAATAGTAAAAAGGGAGGCAAAGAAATAAAAACAGCCAGTGAGTGATGGTGTCGCCTTCAAAGTCACGGCTCCCCAGTAGAAGAAGGTTGGAGACAAAATAAAATGAGTTATATTCAAGAGTGCAAATAGAAACACACAACTTACAGTGGGGTCAGAATCAGGGTTTTCCAAATATTGAATCAGAACGGTGAACACTTCGCTGATCCTCTCTTTCGCCCCTGAGATACACAGGATGGAGAATACATGTAATTTCATCCTGAAAAACCCTTTTGTCATGAATGGGCAAACATTTATCCTAATGTACTGTAGCATTTGTTTTTGTCAGTGTATGACAATATCACATTTGGTTTCACAATATTCAATAAAGAAAGAGAGCATTATTTCTATAAAGGTAATCTCACATAAACACACAGCATTACCTGGGCTGCTGGTGAGGGTCGTCAGAGCCTCGAGAGCACATTTCTGAACTTTGCTACTGCCGATTACATTCCTGCTAACCTCACTGCAACCAGTGGAAGAGGAGGGTGAGTTGCCACTGCAGATCCTTAACAAGGACAGAACTGCAGTGACAATTGAAACTGGAAGACAGGGTAGGACGTCAGGAGGCTGAGGTAAAGAGAAAGAGAGAAAGGGAAATAAGTCAGCTACACGTAAAAAATACAGTCTCCTCTCCCCTGTTCTCTGTCGTCCTCACAGCCTCACCGTGAGTGTGATCTGTGGTGTGTTGCTCAGGCAGACACAGATCATAGAGATACAGGAGGATTTGCTCTTTAGTTGTTCCACCACGGAAAACTGATGCTCGTCTGCTGCAAAAAACAAAATATAATTAGTCAGAAAGATGTATGACGGTGTATTGTGGACATTGAAGGTACAAAAAAGAGATATACAGTATATCCGAGACTAGTGTACATTTCTGAGAACAAGAATCCTAATCCCTACAAAAATATGATTGGGTTTTTACTCAAGGAACCACACTGCTTTTCACATTGGTTGGATCACACCAGAGACGCTACCATATGCCATGTTTTATGCCTTAATTTAGCAATAGGGAAATAGTCATATTTTCAAGCCCAGAATCACCAAATTATCCTATTCTGACTTGCATAAAATACATTAAGGATACACTCAGTCACGATATACATAAAATAACAGATTGTGTATTTTTTCATTGTTTTTCACTTTGTATATCTGCGTGTTTTACCAGTGCTTATTGTGCCCAGTAGAGTCTGACCAGTCATAATGTCGAGGGGGAGCAGTAGTATTCTCACGGCCCGGGCTGTGTGGACAGTATCACTGGGTAAAAGAAGAAATCAGCATCCATGGGTAAATACATCCTGTTACTCATAGATTACTTGATGTCAGAAAACAAACTGTGCTTGTACGGGTGACGGTGAAGTCACATCCTATATGAGAGTGTGAGGTCGTGCTCTGAACAGATGCTTACTGGTGACCTCTGCGAAGAAAAGCAGCTGCAGCATGTATGAGGTCAGCGGGTTTGTTAATGTTCAACATGGACGATAGAAGACGGGTGATACGTTCATCAGTGCCGGAGCTGCTGGAGACAAACATGAACATTGACAATTAACTCATTCATGTATTTGCTTTGCTTTTAGTCTGAAAAAAGCACTGTGTTTTCATCCATATTATAAATCCCTTCAACCTGCATGCAGACAGAATGACGTCCATCAGAGGCAGTGTGAGCTCACTGCTGCCGGCTGTCACCAGTTCCTCCAGGGAGTCTCCGACTGTCTGCAGCAGCTTGTCCCGCAGAGGAGGTCCGGCCTGGGCCAGGAGCAGGGCCAGCAGTTTGAGGGTCTGCAGACTCTGACGGACATTTTTGCTTTCTTTGGGAACCAGAGACTCCTTGAGGTACCCAGAGATCGACTTTACAACAGCAGTATAGTCTGCGCTGCTTGGCGTCATCCCATCACCTTTTTCTTTTTTATCCATGCCTTTACATCCTGCAGGAGGGACTGGCTGAAAGAAGAGCAGGATGTGGGCGAGCATCTGATTGGCAGCTTCGGCAATAAATAGACTTGTGTCGGTCTGGAGTTGTAGAAGCGGGTCAATGAATCCTGGAGAGTGAGGAAAACAGATTTCAGTTATGAAATGGCTAAATTCTTAGTCTTTATTCCTAAATACACACACATTAGGAGACATGGGTAGGTTTGGTAATCATTCACTACCCCCTACATGCTAACCAGGGAGTTCTATGCAAAGGACTATATAGTGAGCTCTTGGGCAAAATAAAAAACACTGTTACCACTGTTGCACTGTCAATAACGCCATTGCTGCACAACTAAAGCATGCCCGAAAAAGGTTAGCCGGTGGAACCTCCATAATAAATACAGAGATGCATTTTGTGACTAGACACATGATTTTGTACTTTGACAATTTTTTGCTAAATGAATGGAACAGGATAGACCTCTTTATTATTCACTCAATTGGAAACTTGTCTTCAGTTTCACAGGCATATATACACTTATAAAACTCACTCTGCCAGGGGTTAGATTGCATGAGATAAAGAAACAGATAAATAATAATTGGGTCAATGAGTCACCTGATTGTACAAAGAAGCTGAGAGCCTTCGGGTGCTGCAGCATGCTCCTCAAGCCCTGAATCCAGCCGATCCTTAAACACGGATCCTCCCAGAGTCCTGCTTCCTGCCAGTGCTGAAGGTTGAAGACCTTGTTCAGAACAGGGTGTTCCTGCAGAAGGGACATCACCAAAGTCAGATATTTAAATTTTTTATAATTTAGTTAAAGTACAAGGTGTCATAAACCCTACCTGAATGGTTTTGAAGCTTTCCTCAGTGGCAGCCAATAGGCCGGTGAGTCTGAGAGTGAAGGAGAGGACACCGGGGTCTGAAGCAGCATTGTGAACCACAGTGGATATCAATTTAAGCAGACATGGGCAGGTCTCCAGCAGTGATCCCCCTTCATCGGGAGAAAAGGTAGACATTAGACAATGTACAGATCTAATATCCATCCATCTACACCTGTGCCCCTCACTTATTGTGCAATTAATGTAGTTTCAAAAAGTCAGCTGTTCACTCAATTGTCAAAGTCAACTGACAGGACATCAATTGACAATTTCAATAGTTTTACTCACATTCTAAGCAATAATCAAAACCATTTATGATTCCAGCATCTTATATCCAGCAATGTCATAATGTGCGTATAATATGATGTTATACTGAATAACTTTATGTTTTTGAGGGTTGGTAAGCTATTTGAATCTTGCTTTCAAGCAGTGGCGGTTCTAGAACAATTTGACCTGGGGGGCCAGGCTGGGGCCAGTTATTTTCTGAGGGGGGCACAATAAATGCAGGACGAAAAAGACAAAGACAGTATGAAGTAATTGCGCATACAGAAAAGAATACAAACCTAAGAAAACAATGCAATACAGTTATTGGTATTTGTTTCATTACACATTATTATACGCTTACCTTTGTTTGCTGTTTGGGTCTGTGGGACCCGTTTTTTCCCATTTATAAAGAAAATGTATGCAATTAATTATTTGAACCTGCTTTTATTCGGGGTGGACCTAACCTTCTCTAGGGGGTCCGGGGGCATGCAGCCCCGGGAAGATTTTTTTTTTAATGTTGAACTTAAACGCATCAATCTGGTGCACTTTGAGCACAAAAATGAATTTATGGATACAGCTCTCAACACTCATGAAAGAGAGCTGTATACTTTTCAATAAATCAACAAATTCTTTAGAATATGATCACAACCAATAACAAATCATTTAAACTTGTTTATTCTTATCTTGTGTTACCTATAGTTAGCATTCTTTCTTTTTATTTATGCATATTTCACTAATCATTTCCCTTTCAAACAGTTTTTTTTTTTTACAGTCCTATAGTACACATTGGAATGATTTCTTATTTTTTACAACACATTAAATAGATAAAGGTGTGCTCTCTCTAGCTCTCTGTCTCGCTCGCTCACAAAGGCTGCGTGCTCCTCGTGGCCATGACGGCTTGCGTTAAAAAAACAAACAAAAACATATTTGTAAAGGGGGGCTATTGAGAGCTTGCGAGATACCGGTAAGCTCGTGATCGACGTGTTGGAACCCCTGCTCTAATGGGTTCCGACTAGAATGACAAATATTGTTACTTCCGCCCTATTCCGCCAGCCAAGAAATCGTTTAAATCATAAACTTTTTTTTTTCTTTTTAGGGGGGCCACAGGGGCAGGGTACTGCATCGGGTCGGTATCCGCGGGTACCCGACGGGTGACCCGCAGAAAAAGGTGATTGCGGGTGGTATTTTTTCAAAACGCTTTTTTCCGGGGTTCGGTTCTGGTAAAATAAAGATGATGCGGGTCGGGTTGCGGGTGTTGCATAATACTAA